TTCTTTCTAACAGTGTCGTATCAGTGGTCCACTCACAGTGTCCTCCCTCTGTTCACCGTCGAGGCCGGCGTAGGAGATCCTGTATCTCTCCACATGGGGATCCTCCAGCTCCCACGAAGCCTCTAAGCTCTGGGTGGTCTCGTCACTCAGCCGAAGGTTCCTCACAGCCTGACGGGCCACTGCGACACCAGATCACAGACAACGGCGTTACTGCACAACTCGTGTATCCAAATGTGTCAGAAAATCTTGGCTTAAACTAAGTTTTCTTCACACTTTTAATGTGATTCGGTAAACTGTGGATTTAAAAAAAAGTCAGTCAAAATGCAAGTAAATCCTAACAGCTCCTGTCAAAGCTCCAGCGTGCTCTGTTCACTGTGATGTTGGGCGATAAAGTTAAATCTGACTTAGAGTGGAGCAGAATTTCTCAAGAGCACTTCTAGGAGTTTGAAACAAAGCAAAGTTCTTTTTGTTTGTTTTGTTCTTTCATCCGTCTCAATAGTGGCTTTAAACCAAAGGAGACCTGTTTGGATGAAAATCAGCGCCAAGGCTCCGTACATAATGCAGCCGTAAACGACAAGCCTTGATTTTTAAAAACAGAGGCTGCCTTTGAGTCGACCGCTTTAAATCGTGAATTTCACAGGAGCACTCGGAGCCTTAAACAAAGCAGATGTGTTGTTTTAACGTGTCCAGAACAGTGAGCAAACTTAAGCGAAGGAGACACGTTTCTTTCTTAAGTTTTTAAAGCCGCGAGTGGAGAAAACGCTCAGACTCAATTAGCTGCAGCCCGCCTCTCGTACAAAACACAATCCAGATGGCCTCTGAGATAATGGAGTTTGAACTCTGGTCTCTAGGTGAAGCCAACTTGGTAAACAGGCTTATAAAAACACAAAGGATCTGACAAACGCTGTTCATGAGCTGCATCCTGCAAGAGAGCATCACCGCATTACAGTTTTAAATTTAAAAGACAGTGCTGACTTTTTCCTCAGTGATTCTGGTTTTTCTTCTTGAAGCTAAATGAGCGACAATGGCCAAAACTCTGCTACAAGGATTTGGTAGAGCTACGGCTGCACTTTGGCAACATGAGCGACGCACTGGCAGCAAGTGGAGCCTTTCACATTTGAATGGCAATGGACTTTCTTGACAGATGCCTTGGCCGGAGCCATGATTAAAATTTGGCCAGTTGCTCTGCAAGGGGAAAAAAAATTCTCAAAGAAAGTAAAATCACCCTGCTGCCCTCTGGACACATGCTAGCAAAATTACTGAAAGCGACACTCTTAAGGTTTTAACACAAGTACAATGTGAAAAAGAAGCACAACGTTAAGCCAATGCGACTCTTTCACTCTCTGACATTTTGCAATTTCACAGAAAGTCAATTTGGACACATCTTACCTGTGGTTGTGGTAGCAGTTGTTGTTGTCCTGCCCACTGGGGAAATTCAGAGAGCATAAATCAGATAATTGGATACAAACTTCCCTCAACAACTTTCTGTGTCAATAACTGAGCCAATTAGGCAGAAATATGTAACAAATCGTTGATGGTGAAATAGATTCTCCTCTTCTGAGATAAGCTGAGACAAACAAATCAATGCAAATGAGTTCAGGCAGAACTGTGACTCAGAGATGCAAACTTTGTGATCCTAAAACGAACATGTGATTGCACTGATCTGTTGTAATAAGCAGACACGAGCACTTTGGTGAAGGAGATTAGTTGGGCCTAATTTTAACAACTGGGGAGGAATGCATCACTCAGAAAGCTTTTAGGGGCCAAATTTTGTTTTTTGTATTGATTAGACAGAGCAAAGCTACCTGAGCTAGCCACACATGTTGCTAATCAAACCAATAACTAGGATTTAGCATATATTGATCAATGGGAAAGCATGAACTACTCCTGAAATTTCAAACGGCTTGAATTAAATAAATCTGCAGCATCATCCTCATTATTTTACCCTCTGCACCTTAAAACCTGCCAACGGGGTTGGAAAGCGTGTTGTTTTTATAAAGTCTGTTAAAAAAATGACACCATTTATCAGAACCAGAAACTGTAAAAACAGAAAAAATCATTGGATGTCAAACTTTCCAAAGTTTATTTTAATTAATCATGTACGTCGTGCAGTTTGGGGGGAAAAAAATAACCAAATCTAAGCATAAAATTGTGATGTTTCATTAAAAATCACAGTATTTTACACGTCCTGATAAGAATGTGCCAAAAAATAAACTCTTAGCTTAAATCAGAATCTGTAAAAAATAAAATAAAAAATAAAAAACTTCTTGGCACAAGTTATTAGTTGCTTTGTTGTGACCGGCGGCCATATGACAAGACGTTTTGGATGAACTCAGTTGAAGTGCAGCCTGAGTTTACACAGAGCAGATAATAAAAAATACGTATGGAAACAAATGGAAAATGTAAATTATCTGTAGCACGTAGAGCCGCCATCTTTTGTTGTACATGTTGATTCCAGATGTTTTCAACTTTTGCAAAAAAAATAATCAAAGAACTTTTGTTTTATGTCATTCTAACTGAGTCATGCTGCTCAGGACACATATGAATGAATTCCTCTCCTTCCAGTCATGGCTGTGCTCTTTCCACAGAGGTGCCACACTTTATATTGCGGTGAAAAATTAGCCCAGAAACACAGAAACTAGTGTTGAGGGGCTTTAATAGTCTTACCTCGTGTACCCCAAAGTGCAGCCGTTGCGTTTTCTTGCAAATTCAAATTCCAATTTTGATTTAGAATCGATCAACTGTTCAGTCCTTTCAATCCTGCGTCACTTACATGTGGTCTCTATGACGGAGACGGTGTCGCTCTCCGATTCATCTTTGAATATCGCCGTCAGCATGACTTCGTACTCGGTGGACGGACTGAGACCGTTCAGGACGTATCTGTTGTCGCTTCCACTCAAGACCACCTACAGAAGAGAAACACAGACCCGACTCTCACGTTACACTTCATTTCCCACATTATGCTCTCTCCAGAAGTGGATGATTAAAAGATGCTGGCTGATATGATCCCAGTTTGTCCTTGTAAAAACTGAACACTTAACAACCATATGGGATTTCAACACTGGTCATTTTGTCTTTTATATATTATATTCTCATCAAGGGTGTTAACGGCAGAGGACACATAGCAAAGCACAGGGTTCTATATTTGAACTCATTTAGACTAAAGTTAGTTTAAAAAAAGGAGAAAAACACATTGTCGCATTTCTTAATTAAATTTTGTCATGCTGTGTTGCACAAATTGCTGTTAGGTCTTTTTTATTTGCACTTTAATTTGTTGTTACAATATTTGCTGGAAGAAAAATAAACAGCAAGAGTTTCTTAAGTTACCCTCAAGATGTGATCAAATTTTGGGCATTAACCAACAGTCTGACAAGATTATTTATACTCTAACTGCAACTCCAGACTTTCAAAACCAAGGTCATCACTGAGTTTTAGTGGAGAAAGCTGCTAAAAACATAAAATGACAAATTGCCTCAGTGCTCGTAATTTCTGTCAGGGAAACAGCAGGAAATGGTGGCGCATATTTTAGGAAGCTGGTGTCTGAAAACAAACTCTCACACGGTGTATTGCTTTTGTAATTCTGTGTCTAATTTATTAAAAACTGTTTAAAAAAATAAAATAAAAATCTAAATGTAATAATTAAGCACATAGAATTTAAATGTAATATTATCTTTGTTGTGGTAAAACCAAAGATTTGAACAAGGCCTCTGTGAAACGGCATGATAACACAGAAACCTCAGAATATAACAAGTTGCCAACTGGATCCAGCGGTGCTCCAGGAGCCCAAACGACCACTATAACTTGTACACGGAGACGAATGACACCCCGAGGTAAACACAAAGAGGTCATGAAAAGTACAGCTCGCTTCCACGGAGAGCAACTCCGAAATTGGAATTTACTGTAGATGACTCAATAAGCAGATTAGTGCAGGTATTTGTTGCTCTACAAAACCCTTCCAGGCACAGTTACATGCAAATTTCACCACTGAGGCCATTTGTGCCTTCCCCGGAGCAAGTGCATCTTTAGTGACTCATTGCCTCCCTCTTTTTTAACATTTCCTTGCCTTAAGTGTGATGTTTTTCCATGTTTTATTGTTTCCTGAGCGTCAAACGGACGCTTTATTGATTGACAAAAGCACAAAAAGGCCTAAATGCATTTCAAAAAAGGCATAAAGTTTCGTGGTGGGTAATATTTCACTCCGTCTCCGTGGCCGTACGCGTTACTTTTAATCGCCTCTTAGAAATAACGATACAAAACAGATCAGTGGAGGATGTGAATGTGTGTCTGTGTGTAGTATGTGGGTGAGAAACAGAGAAAAGCTGCATGTATTCCTTTTCTCGAGGCTGGTGGTATTACCAGCCCACCTCTCCAACTCCCCAGAGTGTTATTTTCAGCTCTGATGACTCTCAGCAAAACACACATACAGGCTCGCACAACACACACACACACACACACACACACACACACACACTCGAAGGGCTCTATCGCTGCCTCCCAGCTGTCTCTAAACCCCCAGATCATGGTAATAAAACACCCAAGCCATTAATTTCTAGATTTATTCAGCCTTTATTTATCCTCAGCCATGCCAGGGGTTTTACCAGCTACCAATAGTGTAGTTAAGCTTCTATGTACTGTAAGTCTACAGCATGCAGTCGCCTCTTTATCTGTACGCGTGGAGTGCAGACACTTCTTCCTCTGGAAATGGAGATAATAACTGGACTCCCGTTTCAATGAAAAGTTCCTGAACGCATGCAGGTCATTTATCATCTGAAGCCAAATTATACATTCCGTCGGCGTGTTATTTGTCAGCTCCAAGAAGAGGAAAACACACAGTTGTGGTTTGCAGCTGTGCCGAGGATTCACGCCTTCAACCCTGTGATGTTGTCGGTACAATCTGTGAGGATCTGAGGTGGACACGCCTACATGCTTCCATTTATCTGAAGCGCATTTACGTACTTATTGAATTTCAGTGGCACTGACCTCTTTGGTGTCGCCGCCTGTGAACGGGGCCCAGGAGAGTCTGTAGAGGACAATGTCGCTGGCTGAGTGATCCCAGGTGACTTTAAAGCTGTCTGTGTTGACATCGGCGGAGCGCAGATTCAGAGGACCAGGGACTGGAGCTGAGAGACAAACACAGACGGACTTACTTGCATTAGCTTTTACCTCAATTGTTAAATAGTGAACGGTTAAGCCCAAAATTGGCCCTACCCACGCCTAGTTTTGCTTTATAGTGACTTTTCATGTGACCAAAAGGTTTCTTCTGTCTGGAAATGCCACTACGAAGCAACAAAAGACGGTAAGACATCGTGTTCGGGGGAACTTTTTCACATTTCACAAAAAATGCCATGTTCATTATTCCCAGTAATCAGTGGCAAATCCCAACAGCTTTCTTCACGTCTCCACTGGGATTTTGTTCCTCTTTGTGATGATCTCTGGATGTTTAAGGTTGAAGGCTTCCTCTCCATCACTCTTTCTCCACAGATTCTGGATGAGGTTCATGTTTGGACTCTGAATTTTCATGATGTTTTTTTTTTAAAAACCATTTTATGACCACTTTGTTTCAGATCATTGTCATGTTGGAAGCTCTAATGCTTCCCAAGGTCATTTTGTTTCTGAAGACTGCCTGATGTTTTTTTTCTCTAGAATCTAAATGCAGTCTTTTTTTCATGATACTGTTTACTTTGACAACGCTGCTTGGCGGCACACTGGATGAAAAACACCCAGAAGCAACACATTCCCACCGCCATGTTCGACTGTAGGGATGATGTTCTCGAGGCTGAATGCTTCTACTTTCCTTTGCCAAACCAAACAAAAACCACATCCCTGTATCGAAAAAAAACTTATTTTCTTCTAATCCTACCACAGAATTTATGACCGACAGCTTTCTTCTTTTTCCAGGTGAGCTTTTGTAAAGGCTAGTAAAGCTTTTGTGAGCCTGTCCTGGAGAAGTGGAGTCTTCCTTGGTTGGTGTTGACGGAAATCAGTTTCATTCAGAGTCTGCTGGAGAGACTGTCTTGAAATGTTGGGAGCAGAATTCCTCGGATTCATCAGGATGGTCTTGGTGGTGATTCTTTGATTCTCCTTTAGTGTCGTGCGCTACAGTCTTGCCAGCGTCACTTTTTCACAATGTGAAGCTTTGTGTGCTTTCTGATGATGCTCTGCACCGTCACTGGTGCTTGAAAGCATTTGGATGCAACTTTATAGCCTTTCCCTGTTTTATAAGCAGCCACTGAAGTCCTTTCATTTTCGGCAGGACTTGCACTTGACTAGTAACTGACTAGAGCACTACTGCTTCAGCCGTTCCTAATTTGTAGTGTATTAGAATCTGGAACGTGGTTGAACATACCAGGAACATTTGGAGTGGTACAGAAAAATTCTGTAAAATTTGCAACCATGTTGGTAAATGTAAATAATTGTGGACATGGTGTCTTTAGCGAAATCCATCCATCCATCATCTATACACCGCTTAATCCTCACTAGGGTCGTGGGGGGCTGGAGTCTATCCCAGCTGACTCAGGGCGAAGGCAGGGGACACCCTGGACAGGTAACCAGTCTATCACAGGGCTACACTTAGAGACAGACAACCAAGCACACTCACATTCACACCTACGGACAATTTACAATCATCAATTAACCTCAACATGTTTCTGGACTGTGGGAGGAAGCCGGAGAACCCGGAGAGAACCCACGCTGCACGGGGAGAACATGGAGACTCCACGCAGAAAGATTCCGGTGCCCCCACCGGGACGCGAACCGGCAACCTTCTTGCTGCGAGGCAACAGTGCTACCAACTGCGCCACCCTGCAGCCCGTCTTTAGCGAAATGCTTAAAAAAATAAAAAAATAAAATAAAAAAATATAAATATATATGTATATATAAAATAACCGATAATTACATTTTCTACATAAAACATTGTTGCATCATTTTTGTGCTACTTCCCATCTTGCAGGCTCCGACCATTTCCTACTACGAGACTCAAAAACTTTGTGTAAGTTCATAAAGCTCCCTTTCCGAAGCCTGCTCCACTTAACAAAGTTTGCCAGGAGATAAATAAAAATCAGCTTGGTCCTCTAGAGTGAGTAGTTTAATAGCTGCTTGCCAGACATACATTTCTTAGAGCTGAGTCAGCACCGGAGCCCGACTGCTTGTTTGCTTTAAGGGATATTCCTTCAAATCAATATCTGTTAGCGTGACGGAATGGTCAGGGACAGTGAAATGACCTTTTAATGTGACTGGGCTATTATGCTGAGGTGTAAATGAGATGGGCAGGAGGCCAGGATAGCAGAAGGACCAGTAAGGGTAATAACATTCAACACTGTCTGGCAGCAGCAGAGAAATGGTTTGCTTTCTAATAATAATGATTCAACTCTTTTGTGGAAACTGAGACAAAAATCGTCCTTAGCAGAGGTGCTCATTTAGAAATGACATAAGATCAAGGTGGACACCAAGTTGTTCTATAACAAGACAAACAAAATGCACATAGTGAGACATTGTCCAGCTGCTGCATCTTCTTCTCTACTTCCCTCGAACACAGCACAACTACGAAGGTTATTCAGTCACTTGATTAGTTGTCACCTATTAAATGAATTGCCTCCTGTTTTAGAATAAGAAAAGATGTGATAAGATAATTAATTACTTAATTGGTTTCAGAATTTTTCTTTTTTAAGGAAAAAAAAAGGTTGACTTCCTCTAATGTTGTTGTTTTAAATGTTTTCTTTCCTCCTTTATGACAGTACATTGACTATCTTTAGGTTGTGGACAAAACAAGATATTTGAGAATGTTATTTTGGACTTTGGGAAACACTGAAAGACATTTTTCTCGATTTTGTGACAGAAAATAATAAATTAATCAACAATGAAAATAGTTGCAGTCCTACAACACAGTGACAGTTTCTTACTGGTGGTGAATCCATCGGTGAGCGGCTCCGATTGGCCCTCGTTGTACACGGCAAAGATGGCCACCGAATACTCCATCAGAGACGTCAGCTCACTGAGGTCATAAGACGTCGCTGGACCCACTTCCACCTGCAGGATGCATAGAGGCACATGATGTGTCGCGCAGAGAAACTCACTGTTTTGTCACTATGAGTCCACGAAGACCGTTTCTGGTTCTTTCTGTGCATAACTTGCAGTTCAATCCACGTAACTTGAGCAACATTCCTGAAGGACGCCCTTTAACAATAACATGTTCTGGTGAAAACATTTAGTAAAGACATAGGACCAATGCACTAAATCAGGGCTCCTGCACTAGTGCAACAACATTTTCTATTGAGGTGGATCAGCATATTATTTAGGTGCACCCAAAATTTTTGCAGCATTTTTTTGGTACAGAAATCTACATTATAAGCTTCACCTGTCAGGCCAGTTCCTGTTCACATTGGTAATTTCTAAACACGACATTTACACATTTGTAAGTAATTGCTCAGTTAAACACTTTGTACATTTATTGTGTGTTTTTTTTTCATGATCTGGGACGTAAAGTTCATAAAAGGTAGCTCTTGTTTGGCTAGATTGTAAGCAGTATCAAATGGTGTTATCATTCATAATTCCTCGCTTTATGAGTTTGCTGCTGCCTGATGCTGAAATGCTGCAGGGAGGGGGCTGCTCTCCTGGCTACACACCGGTAGCTTCAGTTTTCTGGAAATATTGTGCTATTTTAGTGGTTTTGGAAAAGCAGTGTTCCCAGCCATCTTCTGACTGCACTCTTTGCAATAAAGGCGATGAAAAATGTTGGCCTGTGCTCGTATCTCTCTTTGTGGTGCTGAGGGAACACTGTGAGGCTGATGTGCATGCAGACACTAGTGCAGTTTAGAGGGGGAGAGTGTAACCCAGGTTGTTTTCTGTAGCTACAGTTTACAGACATCCCTTAAACACCTCACATGCTAACTATCGATAACTGTGTACATGGAGAAGCCTCTAATCTCCACTTAGTTACTGCAGCACAGCAGCTCTGACAGATGTGTGACCATGAATTAGTTTGAAAAGAGTGAAATAAGGTGTTAAAGTCAGATTTACCTCAGCTGAAACTGCTATTTTATCCACATGAGCAGGCGACCCAGAGACACACACACACATAGACGGACTTGCTGAATGTCAGGTGCATCTTTGCAACCAAGACAAATGTTTAGTCGCACTTCACGGATCTTTAGTCGCACTCTGGAGCACTGTAATTTCTTATCCGACTTGCGTGTACGAATACACACCCTCTCAAAGACACCATTTGTTTCTGTGTAATTGCAGTATCTGTATATTTTCCAAGATGATTAGTATCGGTACTCAATAGTCATTTTGGTCTGTCGTACAGAGAAGAACAATCCCTATAATTAATCTCCTGGTTGTTCCTTCCTTCCTCTTTTCCTTTTTATCTAATCTCCTCTCATCTATACGCAGATACCGTCGGGCACAAATGAATCGCATTGTCTTTAACATGTAAAACACACACATACCTCCTGCGTGACCACTCCGTCTGTCTTGACCCACATGATGCGGTAACCTTTCACTCCACCGGGGGCAGCGTCCCAGCTGATGTGGGCGGAGTTGTGAGTGATGTCGGAGAACTGGAGGTTGGTGGGAGGACTCAGTGGTACTGACGGGTCAGAAAGAGAGAGACAGGAAGTGTTACAAGTGTGTTTGCAGCTTCTGTGAGTTTTTGGCTTTGAGAGAGGAGATTTTGTCCACTTCTTGCCAGTGGCACATACAAAAAATATTTACGGGGGGCAGGCTGGGACCATCACTCACACTGGGGTGGCTCATTGTTTTGTTTATCAGTAAATTGCTGTAGGCCTACTAGTCATTTTTTTGTTCACCCACTCTGAGCATTTGCTCATGCAGGCAAGATGCCATGTAGAAGTGCATGAGAACTCACATGGTATATAACAGGCTTTTTTATGGAACCCTCAATTAATTCTAAATGTTTATTAATTATTAATAATTAAATCTAAATTCTGAAATGGCTGCTAATGTTGTGCTTTCTGAATTGTGGATAAAGCTCATAAGATAATTAGAATGTAAATCCCACACGATAACTGCACTTATTTCAAAAGCGGACTCGTTCAGCTCAGGACACCCACTTAGTTGAGACATCACACTTTGTCCATCCAACCTTTTGTTTTTTATTCTTTCAGGTGCAGGTTCTTGGTGAGTCTTTGAAAAGTGTTTCCAGAACTCCTCAAAGTAGGTTTTTAAAAATTTGTACAAGACTTAATCCTCACTAGGGTCATGGGGGGCTGGAGTCTATCCCAGCTGACTTAGGGTGAAGGCAGGTTCACCTGGACAGGTAACCAGTCTATCACAGGGCTACACTTAGAGACAGACAACCAAGCACACTCACATTCACACCTACGGACAATTTAGAATCACCAATTAACCTCAACATGTTTTTGGACTGTGGGAGGAAGAACCCGGAGAGAACCCACGCTGCACGGGGAGAACATGCAAACTCCACGCAGAAAGTTCCCGGTGTCCCCATTCGGACGCAAACCGGCGACCTTCTTGCTGCGAGGTGACGGTGCAATACACCGAGTCACCTTGCAACAAACAGATTCTGCATATATATAAATCAGACGCACCGTTTCAGTGGCAAGAGTACAAAAACTTTAAATTCTTACAAAATCTGTGAAAACATTTTCTGGTTGTTTAGAACTACTAGATGTGGTTGAGTTGTAAAAATGCATCTGTATGGGAGCAACAGGGAAAATGGTTCTACAATAAAGTTCTGCCAGAAAAATAGTAGTTAATGGATGTAACTCCGATTCTGTGTGTGTGAGTGTCGCCTGAATAGGGTGGTTACCCCACTTCACCCCCTGGTTCTGCTCCTGGTCCTCATTTCCATAAAGGGATTTTCAAAACTTGGTTGAGATTGAAATTAAATATAGGTTCATGTTACAATAAAGGTTATATGTTCTGAATTTAAAAACATGATATGTGTGCATGTACAATACTCACACGTGGTATCCTGGTTGGTAATAGGGTCACTGGCCTCCTCTCCATACATGGCATAAACAGTGACGGTGTATTCAGTGTGAGGGGTCAACCCGTCCAGCTTCAGCTCCGTCACTGCATCGGATACTTTGACCTTTTGAAATGCACAGACTTCAGGATTTAGTACAAAACTCTGGACTTTCTGGCGCTGTTCAAAACTTTGTACTAAACAAGCACCGATCATTTCCTTTCTCCGTCTTTTTCTTTCTTTCTTTCACTACCTCCTTCTCTTCCAGGTCTCCATCATCTGTTAGAGGCGCGTACAGCAGCATGTAGCCAGAAACCCCGTCCACGCTGTCCCATCTTGCTTTCATGGTGCTGTGAGTCACATCAAACAGCTGGAGGCCGGTCACTGTGGGAAGAGCCACTGCGAACAAACACACACACACACGACCACACACAGATAAACACACAGCACATTTCAATCAACGAGGAATCTCATAAATAAATGTCAGAAACACAGTCTTTGGGGGTTTCAATGTTATAAATTGTAAAAATATCACAGTGTATGTTTTATAACTTTTGCAGAAGCTTAAAAAGTCTTGCCGCTGTGGAGGATTTTATCTCTCTGTATCAAAAAAGCATCATTTTCAATATGTCTGGCTTCCACAGCTGTCAAACTTTTAAGCCACTGTTATTAAGTTGTGTTGACTAAGGCTTTGGTGTGGGCTTTTGTAGGAACATTTCAGCATGTGTGTTTGTGTGTAAGAATAAACTTACGGGTTGTTTCAGATCCTCTCAGAGCCTCACTCGCCTCGTTTGCGTACACAGCAAACACTGCCAGCTGGTACTCGGTGAGCGAGTTGAGGTGCTGCAGCACCACCGACGACTCACCACCAACCACCACGGCCTGGGGGTGCAGGACGGCGAGTCGGGGGGAGGAAGAGGATGTGTGGAAGATGGATGGAGGGGACGCAAGTGTGGAAATGGATGGGAAAAGAGGGAAGGAAGGGGTCAGGGGACGAAGAATGGCAGGGAAAATGGAAATTAGGGCAATAAATAGGGGAGATGAAAATGACAAATGGACAAGAGAGGAAGGGAAAGAAGGAGAGAGAGAGATCGAAAGAGAATGGGAAAGGATGGAGGAAACACAATCGATTTATTGAATGGGATAAAGCACAAATGTCCAAGGCCGAAGAATATTTTTTCATTCTGAACTGAAAGGATGACAGTTGTGATAAAGATTAGGTTTGGGCCGAGCCAGCTGGAAAGCTCTGTTCACATGCAGCTCCAGAACATCTGGTCCCTGTAAACCCAGCTACGCAAAAGATTTAATGGTTTCTGTGGTCAAATGTTCTGGAAAATTCAAGCAGGTGCCTGGATCGGCCGTAGTATCATTTCTTGTGAGCTTTTATAACCTGCACGGACGTTCTGGGGACTTATGAATGAAGAGATGAGAGGCGAGAGGTCGGGATGAGCAATACCACCAGCGTCTCAAGGAAAAACTGATCTCAAACTATAAACCTGCCCCATCCCAGATAACTCTCACCGGTACCGTAAATATAATGGAAAAGCACAGTGTACCCACCTCTCTGTGCTCGTACTGACTGCAGGAGTTTTTCAGTTCTGGCTTTTGGTTCTACACATGTGCACGCATAGCTTTAAGACAGCATTGATTGTTTGAGCGAAGTGTTCACAAAGACAGATATTTGTTTGCAGCTGCTGTTGACTTCCTCAGCTTTCCCAGATTTAACTTGTAAAAACACTTTTGTACAGTAAACACAGCAGTGCTCTCAGCAAAGAACACAGTATTTACCTCCTGCGGTTCTCCTCCCTGAGCAGGATAATAAACCACTCGGTATTTCTCTACGTTTCCGGGGGCGTGGCTCCAGGACACCCGAAAACTCCGGGCGGTGACCTCTGATGTCTGCAGGTCAAGCGGCGTTCCTGTTTTCTCTGGTATATGTTCTGAAACAACAAAAAGGGAACGAGAAGGGAGGGATAAGTCAACAGACTGTATTCAATTATACATAAAATGAGTTCAAGTGAGGAATGTTTCTACAGAAATCTGACATGCTGGGATTTATTGTGTCCATTTGAAGACTTTGGATTTCTTATTTTTCTGTCCTGCATCTTTCTATGCACACTGATGGACAGAGGGAACGAGTGAGAAAGAGGAGCAGGATGAAGAAGGACGACAATATGTTCTAAAGCAATCACACTCATAACTAAATAGGATATAATGTTTCTGCGACATGACACCACCTTCCCAAACTTTGCATTGAATGTGACCAACAAACTTTATAGCAATAAACAGGATTTGATTTACACCAAACAAAGCCTACGTTGTATTTATAACTACTGTGAGGCCTATTTTAATCTCACTTTTATTTCTTGGGCTCTTTTCAGAGATAATATTTATGACATTGCTCCGTCTTTAATCTGCAAAAGTGACAGCATTCTGTCATTCAGATCACTTCTACACAACTGTTCCTCACAGCTTCATTCAGACACAAAAGTGTCAACGGCCCAAATACAGCTTAAAAATTCTGATTCTGTGCACCATATGTTTAAGCTTGTTGTTTTGGAGGCATTCACATGGATCCTGCTGCTGTTTGATGCTGCAGGTGTTTAATAAACTCAGAGAAAAGCCTCCTACAAACAGCTAGCAGCAATAAATGAATCTCCAGCTCCTGTTAACATTTCGTCAAAACCCATATTACATTCATTATTAGTGAGTCTCATTAATCTCACTTCTAACTCTCGATCTTCATTGCAGTAAAGTTTTATTTTTATGGACATTTCAGTTTGTAATAGATGTGAAATCGTAGAGCAAAGTGAATTTGTGATTCTGGCAGCAAACGATGTCTTTTGCTCTCTGCAGTGTTTTTGGACCAATATTGGTGGTGAAATGTGGAAAAAGCTTTTCCCAAATCGCTTCACACAGCTCGAAGAACGTCACTTCTGCGTGCCTATCCGGTAATGAGACCACATGCAGTTCAGACTTGTGCCGTGTTGAAAGTGAAATGTCACTCGGTCCAACCCAGTACGAGTGCAGCCTTGACTTTTACGGAAAAGTGACCACAGTGCTCAGTGAAACATGAAGCCGACGCATTCAGATGCAGTCAGATTAATGTAAAGGTGTGCATGTCTGAGGGCAGCTTTAGTCATTTAAGAATACATTAGAAACATGCCAAAGTGATCTCGCTGCACATTGCTGACCTGACCACTAGTACAATTTGATTTTGCCTTCGTTTTATTTTGTGTACTGGATGTTGCAGATTGCAGTTACGATTCTGGTTTGCATGTGAACACACAAAAATGCTTTTCTAGATCGCTGCAGTTTTCTCCTCCCGTCCTATTGTCTCCTTACTCAGCTTGATGTCTTTGTCCTGCTGCTCCACTTGTTCACACACCGTCTTTGTTAGTCCCTCTACTATAGAGCTCATGATGTTGAAGTCAGCCACGTTGTAAACATGAGTGTCGTCCGGCTCTGAGGCGATGGAGCGCAGCTCGTTCTCATCAGCATTCTTTACACCTGGGAAGGTAAGGGCACAAACATGACTGTAACGTCTACAAACAACACCTGTGTGACTGTCAGCACTAACATTCTCCATATGTCGTAAACACAGCTATGCTATAGCACAGTGGGACAGCAAAGTAAAGAGGAACTTTAGTGTAAACTGTAAAAAAAACTATGTTTAATTAATTATAGACTGGTTGTGTGTCTGTCCTCACCAATAGCAAAGAGCTCAACACCAGCATTTCGCAGACTCTCTGCTGGTGGTATGACATCATCTTGGGACTTTCCATCTGTGATGAGGATCCCAATCTTGGGTATACCGACCCTTGAGCCAGATTCAGACTTGAAACAGTTCTCTAAGATATAAGTCAATGCAAGGCCTGTGGAGAGAGACGGGGAGGAAGAGGAATAGAAAAGGTAGATGCATGGAGAGGGAGCGAGGGAGATAAAAGAACAACATAAATTAAAGATATGAATAAATATTCAATAAAGATAATAATAAGTGAAAAGAACAGGTGTAGGATAACAGTGGGAGGTATTATGCAATCATAGTACCAGGATTTTACAGAAAGACAAAGACAAAGGTGAGATTTTCTTTTTTTCTTAACAACTTTAACCAAAATCCATTCCAGTGCATCAGAAAGGTAATATCAGCGAGACACAATACCTGTGAGAGTGTTTCCTCCTTTATAGGGCAGGTTTTTGACGGCATCAATGACTGCATCTTTAGTGGTGAAAGTATTTAGGTGCCACTCTATCCTGGGATCCCCGCTGTACTGTGCCAGACCTGGAAAGACACATTCACAAGCATACAACTTGTCATTTGCCTGCATTATTCACTCAAACTTAGACTCATATGATAACTCATAGAAGAAGGAAACAGTTTCTTGACAGATACTAGCAAGAATATTTGTACTGAGGTAACATCAGGTACCATATTGGACCCATGGAGCACCCATCTGTTCAAGAGGGAAAGGAGCTGACACTCACCTATCCTCGTCTTGTCGAAGCCAACATCAAAGGCATTGACCAGATTTTCCAAGAACATACGGACCAGCCTGAAGTTGATCCGGCCAATACTCCAGGAGCCGTCGACCAGGATCACGATGTCTGCAATGGCCTCAGTGTGGCACACAAACTGATCGACTAAAGAAAAGAGAAGAGACAGAAGGACACAAATTCAAGCAACAGAATAAAACGATAGAATAAAGAATCAATAAAAGGCAACTGAATAGATAAATTCTTTTAGAAACAAAAATGTTTTTACTCTTGATATGCAGGTTTTCAGCCAAAACGCATAAAAATACAATAAATGAACACCTCAAGTATGCACTTTCAAGTTTTCTTTATTGAACAAAACAATAATTAAACAACTCATGAAATTACAAAACATGCAAAACAGAAACAGGTCAGTTTCACTGCAGTCAGTATATTGACACAAAATACAAATACAATCCAAACTTTAATCAAACACCCGAACACACATCCTGCATCTCCACTTCAATGCATGATGTAAAAATATCATGCTGAGAGCCTCCCTCTAACTCTGTAGTGCTTTTTTAAATATATATATCACTGCCTTTTGTAATTAATCTTTAGCTAGATTATTGAAATCTGACTCACTTTTCTTTTAAAAGACAGTTTTAGGGGGGAATCCATGTATGAAGCCTCCCACTTGAATGTAATAGTGATGATAGATAGGAGTCATTACACACACACACGCACACACACAGCTGTGTTTCCATCACTTCAGAGGACATTACTTTGATTAAATTTTCTTAAGAGTTGACCTAACCATAACTAATACCTGACATACCTTAACCTTGTAACCTAGAATTAAATGACTTACACAACATTTTTGTCCCCATAAGGTTGGCATGTCCCCACAACACGACTGTAAACACATCTATGTCCTCACAACCGCAGTACAACAAGCACTCACACACACATATACGCTTCCATTAGTTAATTTATCGTAATTCCATAACTGCTTATCTTGTCATCCTGCCTGCTATGATATCCTGAAAATGAATATATCCACTTAAAGTTGCATCATAAATCACTTTGGTGTCTACACACGTAATAGCGAATAATCCAGAACATGCTGATAAAGTTGGACGTTTGCGTCTTAATGAAGAAAAGCCATAAAAGAGAATGCTGACGGTGGGAAAAGTGAATTATTCATTTGCATTTTCGCTCAGACGAGTACGTTTCAACAGTTAAGACACAGATTATGGAGCGGAGTGATACCGTATGAGTCAGTGGAGATAATTCAGTCGGTGCCGGCTTCACCAAAATAATTCAGAAATGAACACAAGAAGGGCTGTGCTTGTTTTTTAACATCCCCATTAGGCTCTCGTATGCTGTGACAGAAGATACCAGCTTGGTGCAGGTAGCTGAAGCTCTTCTGTTAGATTACTGATGGTTCGACACTGAACACTTTGAATATAAGAAGCACTGGGACTTATTTATCAAAGCAAAACGCTATACGCTCTTAACAAACAACCTTTTTAATTTAAATATGTCACATAAACCACACCGGCTGTTCTATTTGCGCTATCATCTCAGATACACACTCTCTCAAAAATAAAATTAATAAAAGACATATTGTCTAGCGATAGCACGCAGGTATTCGTTTCAAGAAGCGATTTTCCAGACAGAGCCTTCTGTCTGCTGTCTGTGTCTGTGTGACTGTTTGAACCATCCATCTGCTACCGGCGGCAGGCGAAGGAGGAAAGGGAAGACAATGAGGTCTGGAGACAGCTGATGACAATTTTTTGTTTTGCAAATGCAAAACATTTAAGGCGGAGGTGCTATTATGAAATACACGAAAGATAATGTTTGGAAAAAGCCAGGAAGATTATGAATGTATATCCGTCACAGTTCAGATGCATTATGGGTACAATAACAAAGAGAAGAGAAGAGAAGAGAAGAGAAGAGAAGAGAAGAGAAGAGAGAAAAAATAAACAGAGAAGAGAAACAAGAAAAATGTGAGTGAAAATGAAGAGAAAAGAAACAGAGAAGGCAAAAGAAACAATGAAAAGTGAAGGAAAAAGAAAAGAGGAAAGATGAGAGAAAAAAGAAGAGAAGAGGAAATAGAAAGAAAATAAACTGAGAAAAGAAAGGGGGAAGGGGGGACAACGAGGAGAGAAGAAAACCTGAGAGAAAAACAGAGAAGAAGGGAAAAGAAACAAAGACTGAAGATAAAAAAAAGAGCAGATAAGAGAAGCAAAGAGAGGATTGAGTGAACAGAAGTTGAAAGGAAGACGTAGCTTTGAGTTTCAGCAAAATGGCAAAAGGCTATGAGGCCAAAGAGCATAAAGACAATTCTTTTAAGGCATTCCCTTCTCACAAAACAAACAAGTATGCCCTTTAAAGAAACCCCCAGGTTAAAGAAGATGAAGAAAGGACCATAACTAAGCACCAAAAAGCCTTCTGCAAAAGCGACAGAAGACACGGATCAGCTGAGCAGCCATTCTTTGACACAAATCAAGCGACATTCATAGGTTACAGCAACAGCTGTTGACTCTGTGGCTAAATAGAGAGACGAGGGAACGTAATGGAAAGAAAGAAAGAGTGAGAGAAGGAGAGTGGGGTACTGTTAAATGTGAAAAGCCATCAAGACTCACAAAGGAGGTGGTAAACAGAGGATTAGAGGGTCGGTAATTACAGCTAATTACAGCTCACTGGCCATTCCCAAGTCTATTGTTGCCAGAGTGGTGAGAGCGTCAACGAGGCATAATGCTGGTGTTTTACATCTGAACCAATAATCAAGGTTGCCCCTGTCCTTCACATTATTCCTGCTGACATCTGTAAGCAGTCTGTTTGGTGGGATATAGGGGCTCTTCTTTCCCCTCAAGAAACCAGTTGTCATTCTCGCAACTTCCAAAGATTCTCAGCATTTTTGATCAAGAACGGAAATTCTGCAAAACAGACAAGCTTACGTACCATCTAGTAAAAAATGTATTGTCCCAAATATGCCTCTGACAATGCTGTTTTCCCAAACTTAACCTATTTATTTTGTTTATTACCACTGATGATCAATCAGGAGTTCCCAGTCTGCCTTCACACTGCACATATATACCTAAAGCTAGCATTTTATTAAGGCTGCATCTCCCAGTCTTCCACTAATACCAAGTTGGGGCAATAATGAAAAACTTTAAACCACCGAAATATGGATTAAACATCCATCACCACTTTCTACATTAAATTACAGTGAGGGTGGCCCATCATTTGTTCAGTCATCCACGTCTGCTACGTCTCAGACACCACTGATCCACGGACACTTAGAGAAATCTTACTAATCCACTCGTTATGACAGCCACTAATCCTGACACAGAAAGGACTGAAGGATTACAGAGGACCACAACATGAGACAAAAGTGACTGCTGTTTTATACAAACGTACTACTGTAATACTGAACAAGGATATTGTTTTCAAGAGGAGGACGGTGAAGGAACGATGTGTTAAACCTATAGTTTATTTGAACAGAATTGCTGAAACCATCACGAGTCTTACAGTGAGCAGGTGGGCGCATAATCCAGAAATCCAGATCTTATTTTCAAAATTCGCTCATCTACAAAAAAATAAATATTAATAAGCTTAGCAGGAACTGACAACTAGCCTAAACTTCATCTGGTTATAATGCTATTGATTATTAAGTGGGGATTTACACTCTGCTTTTTGCACATTTACTTAAGGTAAACTTGGACTCGATATGTTTCTGAGTAAACTATTCAAAAATGATTCAAGTCTACAGTAAATACTAAAACTAAAAATGTTAATGGTGCAAAGTTATTTATTTATTCCCATGTATGAGATACCTAACTTATAAAGAACTATACAAGACTACTGATTCCATTTATACAGACAAAAAACATCCATCCATCTGTATAAGAGTTCTGCTGAAGTCACAGGGCTGCAAATGAAGTCAATGCAGGACTGCAGTTCCTCAAATGGCCACTAGAGGCTTCCTCCAAAAGTGAGCAAAGCCTCATAGACATCCATTTTATAATGTGCAACTCTAAATCAGAAATAAAAATGTTTACAGCCTCGCACTTTTGGTCTCTAAGGCTTATTTCACGCCAAGCGCACAGGAATTAATGTTTTACAGAACTCCAGTTTTTAAATTGAGTGATTAATGCTTAAGATTAAGCACAATTAGGGGCAGAATCATTTTTGACAGCGTGCATGTAAGCTCCGTTTACATTTCACCTCTTTGCTCATCCCTGGATGATTAGCCACAAGTTAGAGAGGGTCACGTTTGCTGGAAATACTTCATTTTCCTCATTTTACTGCCAGGTGTCATGTTAGCCTCGAGTATATTTCACATATCAGCTGTGAGCTCTCTCATGTGAAGGTTTCGCTCTGTTCTTTTTTTCTTTTTTTCTCCTTTCTGTCTCTTAGTCTCCTTTGTGCGAAGGAGGCCAGTTCGACCCTGAGGCCTTTGAGTGCACAGAAGGCCTCATCTTGCCTCCTCTTGAAGGCCCACACGGATAATTATGTGGAGGCCTTGGAGTGCCTCTTTAGTGGAAGAGTTAGACAAAACCACAAAAGATTGAGACCTACCTTCTTTCCTCTGCTGGCAGCGGCATGAGAGACAAACTTCTAATTAGATACTGATGTAATTTTATATCTTTAGGTACGTACGGTTACTTGCTATAAATACCACTGATGGACACTTGGAGACATTTTGCCATCATACTAACCTTTAAAACTTCTTTTTTAGGAAATCTATCCATGACATCAAGAGCATTCACTAATCTTTATTTACAGTTTATGGTGCTGACCAGAACTGCAATTTTTAAACTGCAATGACATTAGATATACTTCTGCGATCACATTGCTGATCTGTGTGTGGTGAAAAACAAACAAACAGGGGAGCAAGTGTAGATAGGAAATTAAAGCCATGCATCTGTGACTTGACATATGAACTTAACAGTGTGCATGACATTTCCATTTAGTTTTGAAACTGCAATCACAATGGATTTACTTCTGCAATCATGGCGCAGCTGTGTGTGCGGCAGACACAAAGAGTACAGATAGGGGAGCGAGTGTAGATAGAAAATCAGAGCCATGTATATGTGGCTTTACACATGCGCATAATAGCGTCCGCCCCCTCGACAATAGATGCTGGAGACACTGCT